TACAGTACAAGCGGTTACAAGTAACAAAACACAATTAACGTAGACTAACCATGTTCCGTACACTTTTCTCTATTCAGCGCACTCAAACGACCACTCCTCCCTCATTGAAAGCCAGATAAGCATGCTTGTGTGTTCATTCTCTGGGGGAATACCTATTGCACAACCCAAATCTTGATTGATGTCTTTTGGACCAGTAGTTTTTGAGAAAAGATGGGATAAGTACCGGCTTCGCATGTGTACGCAAGATGATAGGTATTAATGGTGTTCCGTACACGACTAAAATAGTGTTCCGTACAGGGCGCATAACTTTAATTTACTGGCAAAAATGGGCATTGTTTGAAGTCTTATTAAAATCTTATGTCAGAATATACTATTATTGTGTTTAACTTGAAGTTAATGATATTAAATAACTCTTTTATGAAAGTTTGAAATGAAAGAGCTTCAAAATCATTTACTTTTTGTATCATGTTTATTACAGCATGACATTTCAAAATATAAAAAAATAAATTCGTGCACATTAACGCTAACTTGACTGACCTTTTATGAATATAAACATAATCACTGCAAAAGGAGGATCCAAACAGCGTTTGCAGCCTGTCTCTCAGGCGGAGAGTTGCGACATACGGTCGTCACCCACAACTGACGTTTAAACATCCCCATTTCAAAGCATTTATTCAACAAAAGATAATTTAACAATTTGTGATAACATAATATTCACTTCATAAAGACTGTAATACCGTGTGATGCATAAATTAAACGCTAAAGCATATTGTCGGGGCTTTAATGTCTCCCCTCCCAAGCGACACTCGCACTAAGCTTGCCCACTTTCTATTTTCAAGCGCATTAGGTGCACGTAGCAAACTTACTGATTTTACTCGGAAAGATATAGTAGGAATGTCTCTGTTGTGGTTGGACCTGAAAGAGTGAGAATTAAAGATTACACAGATATATAGCTTGCCTACTACCCTTAAGTATTTATTCAGAGATTAACGTTAAAAGGTCATCTGTACGGAACATCGTTGTGTACGGAATATAGTCTATGTTAGTTACCTAATTAGCAAGCTAGAGAAAACAAGGAGGCAGCCATTTTAATCGCACGTACTTACACTTGTGAAATGGAGGACGAAACGGATTCATGATCCACTAATCCATGTACTGACATAGTCCCTTACATCAATTGTCTTTTCTGATCCTTCCTTTAACAAACGATGAATTCTCCGTTGTAAGCGTGTAGATTCCAGAAGCACTCGAACAGCACATGGCTGGGCTATAATGCTGAGGTATTTTTGCTAAAGTAAACCTTAACAACTGACTCTTCAGTTTCATCTTTGGGTAGAGACAATAGCACTAACATTCCCCTCACACTTCCAAAAATATTCAGCTGAGCACAGCCTGACTTCATACAACAGTTTGCTACAGTGTGTTTCTAGCCTCTTTTTCTTTGTTACCGTGCTAGTGGGCGGGACCGCAGGTTTCACTTTTCCCGGGTTAGTATGCGCAACAGCTGGGCAGAGCTAAAGTTTCGTATTCGTCACGCCAAAACGGCTAAAGACTCGTTATGCAGATGATTCATTTGAAGTACTCGACTCTTTTAGAAATGAATCAATAATTTTAAACTCTTCGCACTTTTAGATTTAAACCTTTAGAGCTGTTACACACTTCATGGAAGGTCATTCACAAAAACCCATAATAGGGGCTCTTTAAAGTAAATATCTATTTTAACGTTAATATGAATTAATTCTAAAAAGTAATTCCTTGCAAAAAGTAATTTTATTGAGATTTTTATTAAGAAATGTACTTTTACTTACATCATCTCGCTTCATTTTATGCTGTCATGTGCACAGTAGAAAACAAGATTCCCTGTTCAATCAAGTTCTTTGCTTTCAATAATAAAATGTTATACATAAATATATGGAAAAATAAATACATATAAATACCTCTATACACTACCGGCCAAAAGTTTGGGGTCAGTAAAATGTTTAAATGTTTTAAAATAAGCTTCTCCTGCTCACCAAGGCTGTGTTTCATCAAAAATGCAGTACAAATTATGAAATGTTATTCCACTATAAAATAACTGTTCAAATGTATTTGATCATTTAATTTAATCATTTATTCCAGTAATTTTAAAGATGAATTTTCAGCATCATTACTCCGGTCTTCAGAGTCACTTGATCCTATTAATGGTAACAGTAATAAAAGCAAAAATGACTGGATCAATGATTTCATTTGCAACTACATACAATAAGTAATAAATCAATATTTACAGAATCATTTTCTTTAACACCCCCCACCGCCAAACTTTTGACCAGTAGTGTCATAAACAGCATAAAGTGCAAAAGTGCAAACTGTACAACTAAATAAATAAACATACACATAATATACTCTAATATATACATAAACAGTGCAAAAATAAATCTTATTTCTGATATGTACATGTCAATTCATCTTTATTTACAAAACTTATACAATGCAAATGTTGTCAAAGCAGCTTGACAAATGTCTCTGTTGAAATTCAGTTCAGTGTAATGTCTCTGCTGAAGGCCGATCCCATGAAGAGTAGCTCAAAAGAGGCAGTTTCCTGGGGAAACGCTGATCCTGTAGTGTTTATGAGCACAGACGGTGGTCCTGGATCGGGAAAAGCTTCTTTATAGATGAGTTTTGATGATTTTTTAATGATTTTTTTGTTGAAGATTTTGCTGCTTTGTGTGTGAAGTTCCTAAATGAGGAAAAATAAAAGAAAAAATTAAAAGCATGTCTGGAATTTGTCTACCACATCGATAAAATAGGAAACAACACAATAGAAAATCATCTTGTCCATGAACGGCCTCTTGAAGCTACAATCAGCCCATGAAATAGAAACCGCAACAAGAATATAATTTACCACAAAACTGCAAGTTGTTTTAAAGTAGTTATATGCAGTAAACAGACCCCCTAGTTTTCTGTGATTTAACAAACGCTAAACTAAACGCAAAATCAACAAAAAGCTAAATCCTTTGCGATTCTGTAAAATTCTTAATTTAAATGCAAAAAAATGTAAATAATCTCATAAAACATCCAATTCTAAACTATCAAATGATATTTATTTCAGTTTGCAATGAAGTATTTTACACGACTTATACTGTAGATGTTGCAAATGCAGCGCACGTGATGTATTTGAGTGTCTCGAAAAATGACGTCTCACCTGCGCCCTAACAACCCTAAAGCTGCCTTTCCACTACACATGACATTTGGACACGATTGTCGGATTACGCCCCCTTGTGTTAGTCGCACAGAATTTTCAGTTCTGACGTGCACCGTGGAAGAAAAGCTGTACTCGCAGTGTCCGAAATAAAGGAGTGCAAAAGCAATTCTCCGTTGTTGAATGAATGAATGAATACTAGAAACTCAGACTGCTAAAAATATTGGAGGGGATGTTTAGACAACATAAAAAAAGATATTTTTATTACTTTATTACTTACATTTATGAAAAGAAATGTTTTTTTTTTAAATATAGACTTTTTCTGATTAAAACAAATAACCAAATAAAGTCCTATTTCTCATCTCACGCACACGGACCAGTTCGAACAACACTGGAATACATCACATCCGGCCGGCTGGTCGCATACGGTCTAGTCGCAGGAGTTTAAATATTTCAATGGATCCGCAGCTCAATTCAGATCCGAATTTTCTGCATATGGAGATGATCGGACCTCAACGCAGCTCCCGAACTACTCTCCATTGGAAATAAATGACTTCTGGTTTTTCGTGTGCAGTGGAAAGGAGGCTTGACGCCAAATTCACACGGGGCTTCAGCGTCAATGCTTGACTGAAGGCATGTCTGAAGTTGGGGCTGACACGATCATCATAGCAGCATCAGCCAATGAAATTCAGTCAGCAATAGGCCACTGTCTAGCTGGTGTATTTGCATTCAGCGATTTGATTAGCTGACGCTTCCGTCGCCCCTGGAAAAGTTGAACAAGTCCCGACTTCTGCAGCGAGCAACGCCTCTGAAGCGGCGCAGACTGATCCACAATGCAGTTCGGCAACGCCTGACGTCACCGATTCACAGTGAATGGGAAGCGTTGAAGCTGACGCCTCGTGTGAATGGGGCCTAATGCCTGTTTTACACCGCAAGTGAAAGCACTGCGTGAGCAGCACGTATGGAGAGCAGAAGCAACAAATCGAGCGAATGACACGACGCGAATTGGGACTAACAACATCTAACATCTAACAAACAGAGCAGTGGAACAGACAGAAAAGGAAGCAGCTTACAATGATGATTGTTTGTGGATGACGGCCGCTAGACCTGACCCAATTGAATGAGATTATTTTTGCATTACATGTATGGCTGCTTTTATGATAAGTGCCAAATTGATAATGATTTTCCCTTGCCATTGATGAGAGAAAACGCTTCACTGCCATTGATGTGTTTTAGGTTTAATACGGTAAGGTAACGCATGTTCTGAGTGAGGTATATGATGTCAGATACCGCTGGGAGTGAGCAAGAGAAAGTAAGATTGTCTGTAAAAAATGAAGAGTTATGCAACCTTCCTTTGGCGTAACCCCTGCCGTTTCAGATCTTGTCTTGACAAAAGCTTTATTTTAACGACTTGTGTCATGAAGATATATATTAATCGCAAAATTTTCAAGAACTATCACCACAAAATTAGACATTTTCATCACAAAAACAATCGTGAAAAACTAGGGGTTCTGAGTACAGTTTTAGTAAAACACCCTTATGCCTGTGTGTATATACAGATTTTCAGAAAATTAATCATTTTAAATGCTTTCATTGTTACATTTTTTTAACATCTTTGAATATTTAAATATATGTTTCTTTTACATAAACTGTATTTCTAAAAATGTTTAGTGTTTAGTAATTGCTAAGTGCACTTAAATATGTTACACATTAGCAAAATTGAAGATGATTTATGAAAGCCCCAAAGCTAATGTGACACCATCAGCTTTGTGTGTGCCAGTATTACAAACGTTGTTTCCTACTGGATCAGTTGTATTTACCTTCATCCCTGCTCCTCCATCTCCTGCTTCTTCATCCACTGGTGCTGTAAGACGTCCTCCAACGTTGACAATTTTTTATCCATGCACTTTTCTATCAGATCCCAGCAGTCTGTACAAGGAGAAAGAGATAGTTAATCAAGACTGTATAAGAAATTAAAGCTGACATTTATAAAGATATCTTCTGAAATTTGTTATTAAAAAAGGCTACTGGAGAGTCCTGGAGGGTCTGTGTCCTGCAGAGTTATGCTTAAACTCTAATCAAACACTTTTGAAGCAAGTTAACCAATGGCTATATCTGAAATCGCAGCTCTGTACCCTTAAATGAATTAATGAATACATTTATTTAATTGTAAAAATAACATTCCTATACATGATAAATAAAACTACAGTGTTTCAATACTAGCATACAGCTTGTTGTGATAAATAACTTGGGTCTAACCAAGCAGAATCTTGTTCTTTAAATACACTAATTTACTAGACTAACGTAAGGAGTAGTAGATGAGGGTATAGGAGTGATTCTGAATACAGTCAATGACAAGATCATTTGAGGATTAAATTTAAAGGTAAACTCTGTAGGGCAGTGGCACCCCATGACTGAAGTTGCTCAATCATTAACTATTATACAAGGTGTCGTTAGATTCCTTATTAAAGGCAAACATTTACTAGGATCAGCAATGCTAAGCTCTTCCTGTCTTGTCATGAGACTACAACAGGTTGAGGTTTTGGCATGTACATTTGTCTTTTCACTTACCACTGGATACACTGGGACCAAACAAAAGGTGGCGCTTCCTTCCAGAAATTCTGTTCACTAGTTGTCTTCCATGCACCATGAAATACAGCATGTAGCCTACGTTCCAGATGCTTGAAAAGACGACAGCTTGATAATCTTCTGCTCTGATTTTGGTAGCACAACCGAAGTCAATCAGCTTGAGCTCCACCTTCGTTGTGTTGACTAGGATGTTGTCAGCATGCATGTCGTTGTGGGAAACATCATGGTCAATGCAGTGCTGCATTGCCTGGACTAACTGGTGCAGCAGGGAACGTGCAACCCGTTCTGACAGTTTGTCATGCATGTATATATAGTCCCGCAGAGATACGCAAGGTTGGGGGTACTCCATGACGAGTGAAATGAATCCAGCTTGATCAAACCACTCATACATTTCTATCACATGCATGCTTGCTGAAGGATGTTTCAGTATTAGCATATACGCTGCTTCTTCACACACAGGTCTGGAACAACCAGGCTGCAGAGAAAAAGAAAACAAGGGTTAGTAGTTGTACATCTGAGGAAAAATTGGTACTATTTTAATGATTAGTTCACCCGAAAATTAAAATACTGTTATTATTTACTTTCCTTCATGTCATTTCAACCCCCTGAAATGTTCATTCGTCTTTCAGAACACAAATTAAGGCATTTTATCTGAGAGCTCCCTCACGTTCCTGAGGTGCTCAAAGTCCAGAAAAGGAGACAAGGAGTGTCTTCAGTGGTTCAACTGTAATCATACGATGCTCCAAGAACACTAAAATAAGAACTGTAAAAACAACTGACTTTGCCAGAGTCTTCTACATCAGACTGGGGTGTGCATTTACTACAGGTAATATGACTCTGACAAAACATCATACTGCCTGTAGAAAACATGTACCCTGACCTGATGCAGGAGAGAAAACATTGGCAAACTAATTTGTTTTTACAGATTTGGCGCAGACAAAGGTGTTTCAGCAGCTTTGTATGATTGTAGTGGAACCACTGAAGTCACATGAACTGTTCAGACAATGGTTTTGGCTTCTTTTCTGAATTTGAGCTTCTCAGGACCCTTACCGTCTATAGCAGAAGAGAAAGCTCTTAAATCTGAAATATCTTTTGTGTTCTGATGAGGAACAAAAGTCTCAGAGGATTGGAATCACAGCGTGAGTAAACAATGATTTAATGCTTGGGCAAACTTATCCTTTACATGTATTTTACCCTGCTTTAGTACTTTTGTATATGATCAACAAGGTTTTCCAGCTCTTTTCTCTTACAGTGCTGCTACATAATACAGTAAATGTTCACATTAATCAAATTTCAGCATGAAGCACAGCTCATCCTAAAGTCACCATAAATAATTTTCTTCAGCTTGAACATGAGAGAAGTTTTCATACAGACTCATATGGCTGCTTTTTGACTTTTGAAATTGAACTATGCAACCATAAATGTGTCCAAACCATTAAAGAATTAAATGATGAGTGAAGTTTTGCCAACTTACAACAGAGATGTAACGTGGATTGTTTCTCTTCAGAATCTTCTTGATGGCAACCTAAAAAAAGAAAACACAATAATTATTTTTTTCACATTATTCAATCTGTAATTTGTTTAATAAATATACAAGTTTGGATCAAGTGAACAGGTTACATAAGAAGCCAATTGAACAGTAAGAGATTTTTACCTCCTTGCCATCAGATTTACGAACTGCTTTGAATGTTAAGCCGAAGCTCCCGCCTCCTATCGTTTCTCCAAAGCCGTAGAGACCAATCAAAGATCCTGAAAAAGAAGAAGAAGAAGAGGTTATTCTCTTATACTGACCTTACATCAGTTGTTCTCGAATTTTGACTCTCGGACCCCCACACACACATTTTGGATGTCTTTGTTATTTAACACACAAGGATAAGTTAATGAGCTGATGATCAGAATCAGGTGTGTTAGGTAAGGAAGACTTACAAAATGTGCAGTGCAGGGTGGCCAGAGGCCCGAAGTTGAGAACAACTGCCTTACATTAACAAGTATGTTACAGTAGCATCTATAATATTACTGTTTCCATCAAATTAAATAAACAAAATTTCAAGAATTTGATTCTGCATTTATGTTTTGTATGTGATTTCAGAGTGCTGTTAGCACACTCACCAGTATTTGGCTCAAAATTAGGGGCTCCTGAGGCAGATGAGGACCTCACATTAGACGTGTCTTGGAGACTAGATGGTCCAGGCACAGGCTCTGGTTCCTGATCTACCATGTTCTGAACCACAGATGGTCCAGCAACAGGGTCTGGATCTGGATTTAAATTGGCTCTGAGATGAAGCGGTCCAAGGGCAAACTCTAGCTCAGGAACAAAAGTGTACCAAAACCGATACAGTCCAAGTGCAGGCTCTGGATCTGGATCAACAGTGTTCCTGAGACCAGACACTTCAGAAATAGGTTCTGGATCTGGCTCAGCCAGGTTCTGGACCCCAGTTGCTCTAAAAAACGGCTCTGGGTCTGGATTTAAAGTGTACCAGAGACGGAACAGTCCAAGGACAAACGGTGTCACTGGACGCACATTGTTCCAAAGCCAAGACAGCCAAGAGACAGGCTCTGAATCTGGACCAACAGTGTTCTGAGGACCAGGCACTTTAGAGACAAGCTCTGGATCTAGATCAACAGTGTTCCGAGGACCAGGCACTTCAGGGACAGGCTCTGGATCTGGATCAACAGTGTCCCGAGGACCAGGCACTTCAGGAACAGGTTCTGGATCTAGATCAACAGTGTTCTGAGGACCAGGCACTTTAGAGACAAGCTCTGGATCTAGATCAACAGTGTTCCGAGGAACAAGCACTTCAGGAACAGGCTCTGGATCAAAAGAGTTCTGTAAATCAGACACCCCAGGGACAGGCACTGGATCAACAGTGTTTCGAAGACCCGACACTCTAGGTACAGGCTCTGGATCTAGATCAACAGTGTTCCTAGGACCAGGCACTTCGTGAACAGGTTCTGGATCTGGATCAACAGTGTTCCGAGGACCAGGCACTGCAGGAACAGGCTCTGGATCAACAGAGTTCTGTATATCAGCCACCCCAAAGACAGGCACTGGATCAACAGTGTTTCGGAGAACAGACACTTTAGAGACAGGCTCTGGATTTGGATCAACAGTGTACTGAAGCCCAAACACTCCAGAGACAGATTTTGGATCTGGATCAACAGAGTTACAGAGACCAGACACTCCAGGGACAGGCTCTGGATCTGGATCAACAGTGTTCCAGAGCCCAGACACTCCAGGGACAGGCTCTGGATCTGGATCAACAGTGTTCCAGAGCCCAGACACTCCAGGGACAGGCTCTAGATCTGGATCAACAGTGTTCCAGAGCCCAGACACTCCAGGGACAGGCTCTAAATCTGGACCAACAGAGTTACAGAGACCAGACACTCCAGGGACAGGCTCTAAATCTGGACCAACAGAGTTCCAGATCCAAGAAGGTCCAGCGACATACTCTGTATCTGAATCAGTCTCTAGGTCTGGATTAGTTGTTTGTGGATTCTCCTGTGGTGTTTGTGGTTCCACACTTATCTGTCTGCAGCAGAGGAAAGGTTTCTTTATGGCCTTCCACACTCTCTTGAAGAAAGCACGGATTTTGCTCCACCTGCTGCTGCCTTGTATTTGAATTC